CTTTCTGGACCAACTGTAATATACGAGAACCAGTGCGGAGCGCCGCATTTCCATATAAATAGACGAATGTTGCTGTTTAAGTGAGTTGATGAAAAGATTTTGTTGTGTAAAGTTAAATTGTCAATATACATATATTTATAGTGCTGAAGTAGAAAATAAGTATTTGAAACTAAACTGAAAACAGATTAGTGAAAATCTTTCTTCTTTAAATGACATTGTAAATTATTTTGCAATCATTTTAAGATATCTTCGGGGTGTATATATCAACGATACAGATCCTACTAATGATAGTATTTGAACAGAAACCCTAAATGTTGGCAAATCTTGAATATTTAGCGCTGGTACAGAACAATAAATCATGTCTAATTCAAGGAAATTTAAAAAGAAATGGCTTTTAGGTCCTGACGGAATACCTAGTGAAATAATTAAAAAATAACTTTTTTTATCATATCATATTGAAAATTTATAATTTGGTAGTGAAAACTTAAATTTTTCCACAACTTGAAAAATCTCAAAGATATGTCATATATAAAAGCAGAAGTTTGGCAAAAACAATCAACTATAGGCTAGTTGCATTAACATCAGTTTTCTCTAAATTATTTACATTATATCAGCATGGATTTTTTAAAACTAAAAGTGCAGTCTTTTTTTCTCATTAAGTTTCATTCTCTCTTGACCATCAACAACAAGTTACAGCAAGTCTTTCTAGGTTTGGCATCTAATACTCAATCTCTCATGAGGTCATATCTAAGATATAGAAAGTTGTATGTAGAATATGAAGAAATAAAGCTTCCAGTTATTTGCTATATCGGGGGTTCCTTAGTGATCAAATTTAGGACCAGTGCTTTTTATTTTATTTATAAATATAAGAACGTATATTTGCCGATGATTTAAAACTTCAGAGAGAAATCAACAATATATCTGCAAGAAGATTTGTACGAACTAAATGAATGGTGTGAGAAAAATAAAATGTTTTTAAACTGTAGTAAAGGTAAAATATTGTCATATTCAAGAATGTTATCTCCTATTATGCATAACACAGTAGAATAATAATTTATTACGAATTACTGAGTCAAAGAATCTTGATGTTTTATACGACCAGAAACTAATTTTTCCTCCCACATTAAATCTGTTTATCGTGCGAAGACTCTTGGTGTTTTAATTGTACAGAAATTAGTTATTTCGACGCGCTTGTCAGTGATGCATTATTTAGAACTAAATTGGAACACTGCAGTGTAGTTTAGAATCCCTGCAATCCTACATATTCAGCTAAAAGGAAATTATTAAAATATGCATAATTTAAAAAGCATGACCAATATCCACAAAGATGCTTTGACATATTATTAAGCAAACGTCACTTAACTTCTTTAAAAAACACCCGGGATTCAAATCAAATGTGAGGCCAAATTTATTATTATTTTTATTTTTTAAAGTTTATTTTATTTTATAAATTTGTAAAAATCAATAATTCAAATCTTTGTGTTAATTATTTTTAAAATATCTTAATAAAATCTAAATTAATTTTTAAAATATACAACTTTCTTTGTGCGGTATCGCTATCCCATCTTCTCTTTTTGTACAAACTACTATTTTTCAATTAGTGAAATTCAAAGATACTTTTAAACGACGACGTATATTTTTTATATAACATCTCTAAATTGCATGGTATGTATGTTTTATTACAATTTTTCTCAGCAGACCAAAGTGTGTTAGAAACGGTATCATCAGTGTCATGTGTCTGGTGAAGTGATGTGTCCATAGTTCTTTTAACAGTGGCAGACTGAATACAAGAAATGAAATAACTGTTTCTCATTGTAAATAATTATTATATAGATGAAGAACATTTTTTCTCATATTTAGGTACTTAAAACAAATGTTCTTTAAAACAATAAAATGTAGTAATGCATTTTTGAACTGTGTTACACTTCGTTGAATGCCTGTTAAATGTAGCATAAAAATATGTATGATTAGATGATTACATTACAAGTTATATTTTTATTTCTCTTCATACTTTATGAATACCATAGTTTTCGCAAAGAAAGTAACAGTAGAATTGTTCACCTATATATTAAAAGATAGTCGTGATCTTCAAGGCTTTCTTCATTATTAGAAAAACAATTATTTTCAAATTAAATATAAAATTAGGAATATTTTTTTATTCCATTTTTAAGAAGTGTTTTGTAGATTTTTTATATATAATTTTTTTATATAACGGTATTAAGAGTAAAGTTTATTTTGAATATTGGTATTTTTTAATCAGACGACGAGTAAGACTATAATTTTGCTAAACAATTTCGTTAAAATATATGTGAATTTGGTACCAAAATCCGGTTTTTCTGCAATAACTGGTTTTCTATTGATCATACGGTAAAAATGTTAATATAAAAACTTGAAGACAAATTATTTATCAAGAAGGTCATGGACATTATTTGTCCTTAAGCCTTGTTCAGAGTAGGAGCGTCGCGTGTCGCGATGCGATAGCGTTGCGTTGAGCGACGCGTTATCGGTAAAACAACCTAATGTTACTAAACGTTAACGTTCAGAGTAATTATAGCGATGCGATGGTCTGAAATGTCAATGACGTCGCTCGACACAACGCTATCGCATCGTGTCACACGCCGCTTCTGCTCTAAACAGTGCTTTAATAGGATGTGTTTCATATTTAGCTTCGAGGATGGTTTAGGAATTAGATGATTAAATAACAGCCAGAATATTTATGACAATATTTATTGAATTTATGTATTAATATGTTATTTCCAGATTTAAATGAATGTTATTCAGCAACTTGTTTGCAACTGACCATCACTTACCCCTAATACCAAGCGATATTTAATTGGTCATTCTTGTTTAACGCTTTTATGTGACTTTCAATGCTTTTTCCTATTGCTTGTGCCCTATTATATAACTATTATATATTTTATTTAACCTTGGCTTACAATAACCATCAAATGCTTCCACAACTTTTTGTATTGTTTTTTTTTTTTCACTTAAGTTTAGTGTATTAAAAATATCTAGGGCCTCTTCCCTTGCGCAGTTAAGGAATATTGGTACCTTGCGTTCGTTTGTCTTTTTCTCAAGGCCGGATACCACTCTGTATATCTCTAACATTTTCACAATTTTTACTCCGATTTTGGTCAAATACTATCGGACTATTTAAAATCAATTTCTTTTCTTTCACTTAACCTCACTTCTGTTGTTATATTTTCTCAAGGTGAATACAGCACCACTTGTGCAACATACACCATAACTAATTGACGAACTTCAAGTATAGACCGTAAATTCATGAAAAGAAACTTTAGTGAGTTAATTTTTTTGACCAGTCCTCTACAATGGTCTTTTCAATCAAGGGGTTGACCTATCTGGATTCCTAGAAAGCGAATGCTATCATTCCCATTATTAAGAAGGACATTTTCAAAACTAATCTCTAGGGGCTCAACATTATGTTGTTTATTATGAAATCCTAGTACATCAGTCTTATTAGCCTTAAAAAATAAATCAAGACTATTAAAGTAACTTGACATTTTTTGAGCGATGTTGGAGCTTTCTTTGTTCAGTAAATCCGTATTTTTAGCTGAAATTAAAGCCGAAAAATCATCTGTATAGCTTACATAATGATTATCACCTATTAATGAATCAAAATTGTTTACATACAGTATAAACAATATGGGTCCCAAAATTGAACCCGGAGGAGCTCCCATATTATCTACTGCATCAGAATTATAGTATTGATTTTGTTGTCGTTTTGTACTTTTAAAGAAATATATTGCTTCCTAACATGTACAAAGGTTGAGATCCATTTTAAAATAGTGCCACTGATTCCATATTTCTTCAATATATTTAATAGCAACTCATGGTTTACACAATCGAATACTTTACTGAGATCACAAAACATAGCAGCTAGGCGTTCAGATTCCTCTGAATGGTAAATAATGTTATTGTAAAATGAAAGCATAACAATTGTTGATTTTTCAGCACAGAATCCATGCTGATTCCCTGGTATAATGTTGTACCTCTTCAAGAAAGGCAGAAGATAATCAAGAAAGGCATATTCAAAGATTTTAGACTTCTAGTTCTATAGTTTTCTATTTGTCTACGATTATGTTTCTTGTGCAATGGTAATACTTTCCCCAGTTTTAAAGCTTGAGGAAAATTGCCCATCTCAAATGAAATTCATCCAAATACTAGTACCTCCACATTTTAAATTTGTTTTGCAGTAAAAGCTAATTAATTTAAAAATTTTAATTCTAATTAAATACCAATTTCATTTATTCATAAAATATTGAGATCTTTAAAAAGATCAATGTCATTTTCAAGAAAATTAATTTTGTCAATATTAATGGTATTAATATTTAGCAAGAGTAGTTGTGGATTAAAAATTAAGTGTTGTTTATACACGCCCTATAAGGCCAGAGATTAGCATCCATGGCTTTTTTAAAGTTTGAGGCCCAAATTGTTACCTTGAATGAACTGTAGATATTAGGATGTTTTGAATTTATTTGTTCGCACTTTATTTCTGGAATTTTTTTTTTTATTAAATCACATAAAGCAGCTTCTGTGGTATGTGGATTGAGGCGATATACGTGTAGTGTAGCCGTAACTTCAACTCGTAGTTGTTTTTATTATTACTAATTTTATAATTATTCTTTTATATGCGCAAAACTAGGTTTATTCCTTTAAAAGGAGTAAATAAATAAAAACTAAATAATATAAGGTATTTTAATTCTCGAACTTTTATAATACAGGTTAACGATAGCACTAAATAATAATTATAATTTTGTAGATGGTACATTATTATCGAATTCCTTCTTCAACATTGTAGCCGTAGACGATTTGGTTAATTAATATAAAATGTTAAATCCGGAACATTAAATAATATAAGCGAATTTTTTCTGTAGTTTAGATGGTTCAAATCGTTGCTCTCTGAATAATGTATATCTATCAATTTGTTTTTCGGTTTTCGGATTGGAAAATAAAAACTTATTGTAATAATTAAATTTCAGATGTCTCACTGCCTTACGAAATGTTTCTGCATCTGGCTGATCGTCACACTAGCAGCTGGCCAATCGAATTATGCGGATCAAGCCAACAATATAGAATACCAAGGAGATGGATTACCGGAACAAGGAATTCTAGACGGAAAAGTTACCAAGCTCGATGACCTCAGTCCTGTTATATTTTTAAATAGGTAAGCTACCAAAATAAATTAAAACTACTTTAATTCATTTGATAACTTTAAAGGTGCTTATTGTCAGTATTTTGATTCTACATGAGCATATTTTTCTAATTTTAAATCTGTATGGTTTTCATATGTAACTGCTTTTTTAATAAAATGATGGTCAATATAAATATAAAGTGCTAACCGTTTCAGTCAATTGATTATAGTAAACACTTTTGCGTATTAGTCAATTGGTACATTTTTTACGCCTAATCGTGATTATATAAAACGAGAAAGAACGTATTGTACTGAAGTTGAAGCAACAAGTAATGAGATTTCTAACTTTAACTGCACATACCTAGAACGTTCGTATGTCCTGTCTTTTACTTGATGGTTGGTAGGTCCTATGTAAATTTAAAATCAGTTTGTATCAACGCTCTAAAAATCTTTTATTTTATACTTATTATTCTCTATCGAAAGCCACAAAGCGATTAAAAAGGCCCACTGTGCAGAATGCTTCAATCAGGAATACAGATGGTAGCTGGGCAAGAAATAATATACAAAAAGTTAACAGATTCGCAGAGTACTTACAACATACCTTCCAACCAAATGAAGGAGAATAGTTTCCAAACTGGACTCCTCTAGATAGAGAGATGACTCAATTATTAGACCAACCTTTACAAAGGAAATTGCAAATTAAAACAACTTCCGAAGAAAGCCACAATTAAACTAACACACATGTTTAATGCCTCATTAAAACTAAGGTATGTGCCTAGATTGTGGAAAATAGCTGAAATCATTATGATTCCTAAACCAGGAAAACCTCTGAATGAAGTTTCGTCATAGAGGCCAATATCTCTATTGCCTATAATATCGAAAATATTTGAAAAACTATTAATAAAAAGCCTGAAACCCATCATGGAAGAAAAGAAACTTATTCCAAATTACCAGTTCGGCTTTACACAATTACACAAAACCAACTATAGATCAGTTTCATAGAATCTCAAATGCGACTGAAAAAGCATTAGAAAACAAGGCTTCTGATAAAGTATGGCATGATGGCTTAAAACATAAACTGAATGTGCTACTTCCACAGCCATACTCAGAGCTATTGTATTCATACATTTCAGATAGATTCTTTAGAGTAAAACAAGATGAAGCATACTCTGAATTGAAAGTAATTAAAGCAGGAGTACTACAGGGAAGCGTCCTGTGACCCACTTTGTATCTGTTATACACTTGTGACATACCCCAACTAGAACAAGATACAATAGCTACATTTGCAGATGATACTGCCATCCTAGAGATAAGCAAGGATCATGAAGAGGCTGCAAATAAACTACAAACATAAGTTAATCAAATAAATAATTGGAGCAGAAGATAGCGTATTAAACTAAACGAAACCAAATCTGTTAATATTTTACTAACAAAAATGGTCAAAGAATACCAATCAACATCAATAATGCTCAGGTCCCTTATGCTAACTCGGCAAAATAACTAAGTATTACATTAGATACAAGACTTCGCTGAAAGGTCCATGTTAAAAGAAAAGACAAGAGTTAGATATAAAATTCAAGAACCCGTACTGGTTACTTGGTAGGCATCACAGCCTATCTACATATAACAAAATTCCATAATATCAACAAGTTCTCAAACCAATTTGGACCTATGGCATTCAGCAGTGAGGTTGTGCCAGCTACAGTAGTATTTTATTAATCCAGAGATTCCAGAACAAAGTATTAAGGAACATTGTCGATGCTCCTTGGTACATTAGAAACAGAGACCTTCATCGAGGCCTTCAGATGGACACTGTTAACCAGACTATCACCAGATTCGCTAGGAGTCACGAACAACGGCTCCACCAACATGTGAACGTTAAGGCGATCCAGCTTCTTGACAACACGAGCCTGACAAGAAGCCTCAAGAGAGTGAAACCTTTTGAGTTAGCGTTATTAAGTAATTGTGTTAATAACAAAGCATTGTGCGGTTTAGTGATACACATTAGTTTAGTGTAATTAAGTTATCAGACCCTAAGGTATACTAGCGAGTAGAACTTTAGTTTTTAAGATTGCAACTCTAGTTAAGTTAGGTTATAACAAAATTATTCATTGATCAACTCTTGATCAGATTGTAATATTAATAAACGACCCTTTTGGAGTGTTTTTTCACAAAAAAAAATATATTGGAAAGAGTCTACGTTAGTGGTTAGATTTCTAACTATGATCCGGTATCTTTTTTGTCTTAGTTTTATTAGATCATATGATATACAGGGTGTTTCCGAACTTGGCGTCCAAATTTGTAGGAGTGGTAGTTCGAATAATTTGAGAGCGATTGGCAGATTTCATTTTTTTAAAAAATTATAATAAACAAAATAGAGCCATTATAAAAAAAACCAAAGAGTGGGTCCTACCCTGAGCGCGTAGCGCAATAGTTGCCTGATCGGTTACTCATCGGGATTTACAACTCAAAAATAGATGCGATTTGCAATTTTGTCGATTCTAAGCAAACCGATCGTAGCGCGCGCGAGTCGAGGCCTCCGCATCGCTGTGCAGGACCGTACCTGTTTAAAATTTTTAATTAATTTTTAATTATTTTTATTTTAAATATTTTGGAAAAATTAAATCTGCGAATCGATCTCAAATTATGCGAAATACCACCCCTACAAATTTGGACGCCAAATTCGGAAACACTTTGTATTAGGTACATGTTTGTCTGAGTAGTCGCTTTGGTTTAATTATTTTTTAATCCTGACATTTATGTAAATAGACTAAAAAGAATTCGAGAACTAGAGCAATGACCCTTCCAGAATCAGCGTTTCTCTTCTTCTTTATGTTTCCCTTTAGATTTATTTATCATAACTGCTTTTGTTATTCTTCCTACCTATTTTTTTAACTTCCCTCTTAATGATTCTATTTTCTATGATGTTTTATATTGCTGACTTTTGCCGTATTTCTATACAAAGGGTGATTCCTAAGTTATTACTTTTTAACGTCATTACAATAAACGACATTTTCAAAAATCTCAAAACTAAGAACCTAATATTAATTTATTTCATATTGTATCCGAACTTAAATAATACGCTAAAAGTTGTCATCACTTGAACACACCTCTCTGTATAAAAGAAAAATCATTTTCCTTCAGCTGTTGCTTTGCACTGCTCTATTCATTTAATTATTTTTATGTGTTTACAAGAACTTATCATAAAATCAAGCAAGAAAAATGAGAAAGATCTCGATAGCCCGGTACTAACACACTCGGATTTAGAATTTTTAGTTCTGTATCTTTATTCTTTTTTTAATTTTTTCCTATAAGTTACTTAAAATTGTTTATTTTAACGACTATACATAACTAAAAAACTCAACCTATAAATCATTTTGTATTATATTAATTATATTTATAAATAAAATACAAAATACCTGTTACTCACTGATATCAATTTTATTTACCACCCTTAAAGATTTTTGTGAATTTATAAATCTCTAAATATTTTTTTTTTCATTTGATTTATTTCATGTTTATTTTTTAGAACAAAAGCTGCATTAAATTGTGCAGCAGGATCTATGCAAATAGAACTCAAGTTCAACGACAAATTCTATGGAATAGCATACGCGCAATTTGACAGGAATTCGGCTTGTAGAGTATACGGAAAAGGAGAGCATAGCTATAAGTTGGAGCTACCTTTAAAGGGGTGTGGAACCAAACAGGCAAGTCAATTAAAAATTAATATTAATAATAATAATAACATTAATTTCTTATTATATTATTAATATTAATAATACTTGAATGAGTAAATCCAAATTTGGTAGATTTTCACAAAACTTTTATTTTAAAAAATAAAAATTAAAAACACTACACATGACATGTTTCGAAGTACAACTTCTTTTTCAAATGTGACTAATTTACAATTCGGTATCAAATACATATGCGAAATAATTGAACAAAATAAAGTACTTAAGAAAACATCAATAACATAACAAAATAAACTAACTATTTAAAGTAAATAAGGGTACTTGGGTAATTATGATATCAATCAAATAACAATAAGATAGTAACATTACGGGGATTATCTCACAGAAAACTAGGAAAGAGATTTAATAAGGGTGAGTTATTAATATCTAATTGATCATTGAGTACTTTGCTTTAAGTTGATTAAGTAAAGGCCGAAACAATAAATAAATTAATAATACTGTTAATATTATGAATAATTTTATTATTATTAATAATATTAATATTATTAATATTATTAATATTATTAATATTATTAATATTATTAATATTATTAATATTATTAATATTATTAATATTATTAATATTATTAATATTATTAATATTATTAATATTATTAATATTATTAATATTATTAATATTATTAATATTATTAATATTATTAATATTATTAATATTATTAATATTATTAATATTATTAATATTATTAATATTATTAATATTATTAATATTATTAATATTATTAATATTATTAATATTATTAATATTATTAATATTATTAATATTATTAATATTATTAATAATATTTCGGATATTAATTAATAGGTATTTCTTAAATTTTAGAATCCTCAACGTGTGTTCACTAATAACATAATTGTTAGATTCCATCCTGGACTAGAAATAGACGGAGATGAAATAATTACAATTGTTTGTAGATATCCACCACCAATTGTTCCTCCACCTGCCCCACTTCCTAGGGTCGTGTAAGTAATATAATTCCTACCAATTTAAGTAACTCAATATTAATACAAATAATCCTTCTTCTAGGCCCGAAGCTCCAGTGGCAGCGGTAACAGCACCATTAAAAGGATTTCAAATCCTGTTGATTATTTGTGGTATTCTATTTTTGTCTTTATTATTGCTCGGCTTAGGATGTTCGTATTACTGTTTAAGAAGGCGACCTGTGACAGTATTCAGACAGCCATTTTCTTCTGTGGGAACTGGATCAGAAATTACAAAATTGTCGGGCAGTTCTCTTGGTAAGTACCCAATCACTTTAATCATCATAGAAAATTCCAATCGCCTAATATTTTTAAATTTCAATTTTAATGGAACCAGTAGCTGATTGGCTTTTTCTATGAGATTACTTACTCATGATTCTAAATAAAAACATTAAATCATTTTGCATTATTTGACTAAAATTAAATATTTCGTTAGCACTCATTTTATCAGGATCTTATTCATTTTTATGCTGTCACTAAAATGTTATTTACAATCCTTAAAATAACATAAATAATTCCTAATTTATATCACTTACATAATTTCAAAATGGCTGTATGCGTTTAAGTATCTAGCTTCCTAACCCATGGTAGGTCTTTGCTGACACTCCAATTTACCTTCATTGTTGTTATAAAGACAGAAAAATGTTAACGATCCTGGAGACTTTAGGTCATAATCAAAGTAAAATATTAATAAATAAAATTAACATGAATCATTCATTTTCGTCTTTAATAACGACTCACACTGTAGATTTTTTTGTATAACTAAAAAGGACGTTTTAACCTATTAACATTTACGATTGTACAGATTGTCCTTAAGTGTGAGTCTATACGGAAAGAGATTTTGAAACGGATATAAAATAATCAATGTCAAATTAATGCAATTTGATCAGTTTAATATTTAGAATAAAATTCATTACTTTTTAATTTTTTCTTCAGTGGTCTTCAGCTTATAATTCCACCATTTCTGCTTTGCCTCGTTTCTATTTGTAATTCTGCATTTTTATCTTGACTTGCTTCGCTTTTCTTCTGCTTTTCTTGGTCCATTAAAGTTGATGCAAAATTCTGGAAGTTTTTATTGACTCAGACTACCTTAAACTAAGATAATTTGAATTGACCAATAATAGCATCTGAACCTAATGAAGATATATCCAGTAGATAAGGGCATAATCATCAAACAAACATAAATCAAACCAGCTTTAATTATTCTGGAATTTATGTTCAGTACAAAGATGTCGGGGTTCAAATGCCACTGCGACAGGCTTTTCTCAAATCTCCAAGTATTTGTTTTTACCGTTGGGGTTCGGGGATGGTCTTAATAATTCGTAGGGGATTTTTTGAGGTTTGTTTTAGAATTTTCAAAATATTTTTCTAAAATCATACACTCACGTCATATTTTTCTACTCAGAATAACGAAATCCAAAAGGTCTGGAATCTTATTTGAGTCGGTGGGCCAAAAGGTGGGTTTTTCAGAAGATTGGTATTTACAACCAAGTTATGATGCAGCTCGGTGCAATTCTTTTCCTTTGACTGTGGTTAATCTTGAATCCCAGTTAATGTTTTTGGAGTTGTAATCTCCACCGATTATAAATTTGTAACCTAGCTTTTTGAGTACATTGAGATAATTTTCTTTTTTCTGGTTGTATCTTGGTGGGCAATAGATGCAGCTATTGTAATTTTGCCCCCCCCCTTAGTGTTAATGGTGCTAATGGTTACCTGATTTTCTGGTTCTTGGATGCCTGGTTCCTCATAGTGGGAAATGTTATTTTCAATAATTAACGCACTTCCTCCTCTTGCTGCATTTACTGGATGGATAGTGTGATAGAAGTTTTATCGCCTGAATTTAATGTATGACTCCGTTGTAAGGTATGTCTTAGAAATCAGACATATATCTATTTTTTGTACGTCGAATAAAACTTGGATATCACTTTGTTTTTGGAGAATAGCATTGGTATTCCAAGTGGCTAATCTAATATCTTTTTTTTCCATTGGTGGTTTTGTTATATATTTGGGGTTTATTTAATTATGCTAGCTTCTAGAGCCTGTCAGAGAGTGGATCTATTCTGGTTATTACGGATAATAATAATAATAATTCATGAGTGGTACTTTCTGCTAGGCTGGCTAACTGTGCTGTATGCTGTGCAGTTTGTGGCATGGAATTTATGGTTGATTGTGACCTTTGAACTGGTTGCTTCTGTGAGTTTGTTACCTGAGAATATGTTAGTTTATTTCTGATAGTAGGAAAAGCGTTTATGGGTCTCTTCTGCCTCGTCATTATTTTAGGTTTAGTGGTGTTATCCTTCCTTATCTAAAAGGTTTTAGCTACCTAACATCCTCTATAGTAAGCAGGATGTTCCATTAGACAGTTTATAAACTTCGGTTGTTGTTCTGGACTTATTACACAATCCTTCGTATAATGTTTTCCTACGCACTCTCTTATGATGTTGAATATTCACTGACGTTGGTAGTAATTAAAACTACTCTTTAAAGCAAGGAAGTACTTTACGTCATTCCATTCCATTCCATTGTTAAAATTTAAATGTTATTTGGCAGTGATTATCTAATTTACACCAATCCTTCATAGATTTCAGAACTTATTGCATAATTTCTGATACAGTTGTAGAATAATTTTTCATTGCAATTACCTATATACTGTAATGTGAGCCATTTTATTATTCAGTCATGCTCTAACCCTCCAAGTCTCTCTCTTTTTTATTTGGCCATTGAGGCTCAACTTGTCCGATTATCATACGTAATTAAACCCCTTAAGACCAAAAATATGTGACGACTATGGCGGAGGTGCTTTCGAGACCTTTCCAGGTAAAACATGAAAATGTTTCTAGTTTTGGCGAAGAACATTCTACAACATTCCGGATATTTTGGTGGATGAGCATTCTAGACCACCAATTTGTATATAAATAATGGTGGAGGTGAACGCTGTATTAGTTAATATATGGACAGTGAAGATAAATAGCGAACACTTTAAAGACATTCGAAATATATATAAATAAGAATAGTATTGTTATAAATAAATAAGTGTTTAAATAAATTATTAATTAATAAACTATGTTTAAAATAAACAAATATCACAATACTCTGGGGTTCAAAAGTTTTTTTTGTATAGTTTAACTAGTTTTTAAGAACTAGGTAGGTACTACAAGTAAGATAGTGCAGGTTTAGTTCTAATTTGATAGAAGACAGGTAGTGTTTTCTTTTCAAAATACAAGATTTGTTGTATTCGAAGAAAGTTAATTCTATAGGAGTACATATTGACTGCCTTGCATCTAATCAAAAAGCCTATTCGTTTATAACGTTACTTTACATTTGTCTATGGTCTTTCTGTCAGCTTTTCAAAAAGTCTGCTAGTTCATAACGTCACCAAGAGGCGTCTCTCGATGCTCCTGTTATTTTAGTCACCTCTTACGACAGACAGATAAGTTGTATTATTTGACAGGAAGTAGCCATTCGGTAGGGCTCCTACCACCACCCCGGTGGTAAAAGCTCGAGTACATTTTTTTACCGGATCAACAGGGAATCAGGGAGGTATTATTAAATGATCCTTCGATATCTCAAAAAGATGCCAAGCTTCCTCTTCTTTAATTTTCCATGTAGAGGTCTTAGAGGGGACTGTCCAAAAATGACTCTCGCAAATGCGCAATGGATGCAAACTTTTTGTTTGGAAGGGTTAAGATGACGCTAAAAAATAATAACGAATCCTACAGAGAACACGGTAAGGTTTTTCCACGAGACTGACTGGTCTCATTGGTCTTTTTCTGGAGTATTTATGGGTACAAAAAGAATTGTAACCTTTTCCCAGATATTTGAAATATATATCTTAAAATGCTATATTTATGAGGCAAATTAATGTATCTACTTTAGTTAAAGTGGGGTTACATCATCCAATTTAGTTATCTTTTAATGTGTAGGTCTGTAATAGCGTCAATGCGCTTTTTAGAGTCATTCATTGGGTTTAAGACATAGGATATCAGTTTAAGTCTCAGATGGTCTCCCTCTACAATGTTTCATAGAGTCAATTACAGCGCCTTCTTAAAGGAATATTAATATGCCTCCAATATTTTTCCAGATTTGCATGTATACGTATTTATTCTTAAGTTGCTTGTGTTGACTATATTAATTAACTTTGAGCTGCATCTTTTATCTAGGTATTTCTCCAAAAATCCTTTTCCCATGCCTTCGCTACATCTTCCAAACATACATCAACAAACTGCATCAACTTTCGCTAAAGCTTGCTTAATTTAAATATATATGATATATAGTGGAATGACGTCACATTAAATATAAATTATATTCGTTGACACGGTTTTTACCATTCGCACTTCTACAGGATACTTTTCTTGATTTTTACTTTTTCTTGTTACTATTCTCTAACGCTTATTCAATTTTCTTTATTTCCCATTTTTTCCAACCTACTTTTGCTGTCTTTCGCTTCAATATTTAAACAATTCTAACGTTCTCCAACAGAGTGGTTCTAGCAAAATTTGGAATTTCAGGTAATCTCTCAATGTTTGAAGGTCTAAAAATACCTCGGGCCAACGTACCTCCCTTGATGGCAGCTGGCAGTACAGCCAGCGAAGGCCCGCTAATGAGCGATAATCTCCCTTCAGACTACCCTTCAGAATCTCATTCCGAAATCGACGTAGACACAGGTTCACTTCCTGTATCCTCGGCAGGCTCCTACGACAACCAAGCCTACGTACAAGACACCTCCAGTATTTACAGCGAAGGGTACGGTCACACTCAAGAGCAGCAAATTCAAAACGCTGTGGCCAGCCCGACGTTTGTTCCAAGGCTACCGCTGGCTGTTAAAGAGCAGCAGCCTAGATTCGATGTGCAAGTCAAGGTCAAGAAGAGTCCGCTACCTCCTCCTAGTATTTCGCTGTCTGACAGTGAGAGCACCAGAACTGATAGGAATTTGAGTACCATTTTGGAACAACAAGAAAGTATTAGGTTTGTAACAAAAATTACAGGTATTTTTCTTATTTACATTCATTAAAATAAATTCATTGTAGTGTGACCCAAAAGTATAAATATATTTAAACATTTTGCAAGATCTAAATAATCTAAAAAAAAATGGCTCTGGAACAGCCTAGTGCTCGCCATAAAATGTGAAAGGCAACTTAAAAAACTATCAAAGTTACTGAGGAAAATAGGAAAGCAGGGGTAATGAGAGGCATCTAAGTAATTAATATAAATTACAAATTTAATATTGGCTTTAGAATAAATCAAAATATATGGATAATAAAAAGACCATGTGCAGGAAACAACATTTTTCAAATTAAATAAACAGTTTTTTATGTAACAAAATTTACAAAATATATTAAGCTAATTTAGCTCCCCTCCCAAAAAAAAATATCATATATAATAATAATTAATAGCCAATAATAAGCTGAAATAAATACACAAATAAATTTACAACGCCCATGTACTACATCAAATTTATATTATATTTGGACAATTTCATTTGAATTTGTATCGAATTTGCATCGAATTTGGATGAATTTTGATTTTGGAAAATTAAATGATTTTATAAAATTAATGAAAAACATGTTAATTACACTAGTAGTCTATATTTTAGGGTTCCTCTCGTTACCCACTGGTATCCATTCCCCTCCACTCTACTACTACCTATTTTACTTCCAAATAAGTGCTTCATCTCAAATATTGTTAAAAGCTTAAGAGGAACATAGTACCCTAACCTCAAAAAAAACAAATAAAAAAGAACAAAAAAAAACAAAAAAAAAACAAAGAAACAAAAACAAAAAACAAAACAAAATAAACAAAAAAAATCAAAAAACAGAAAGCTTGAAATAGGATAAATTGAACGTTTTAATTTATAGTGATTAAGCGTATACATTTAGTGGAAAAGAGTCTCACCAAATTTCAACATTAAATAAAAAGGTACAGGGTGACTCATATTGCGGAAGTAACATTAAATATTTAAAAAAAATTCCTTCACTAGTCACATAGAAATTAAGAGCTGGAATTTAGCAGAGATGTTAAACTTTTTACATTCCTATCTGTATACAGATAAGGAAAGTAACGGAATCACGATTTTTTTAGACCTCGAGTTTTCGATGGTTTTTTACGTTTTGGGGTCCCCTGAATCCGTTTTGACTATTTTCGCGGTGATGTCTGTGTGTGTCTGTATCCTCGATAACTCATGAACGGATAGAAAGAAAAACACCAAATTTTAAACTTAAGCTTTATTCCGGCCTCCAGTGAAGGGATTAGATTTTGGGCAAAGTCGGAACATCTGGGGGGTACTTTATAGGTGGTTATTTTTATATTTTATAAAAAATATCTGTTATTTACGTTTGGGGAAGAAAATTCTTTGAATTAAAGTTACTTGTAATATTATTATCTATAATTTTTGTTTTTTACAAAATTTTCCTTAAATGGTCCGTATTAGAGAAAATGTAAAAAAATATTTTTTTATAAAAATTGTTTAAATAAAAGTTGTTCTCTATAATTTTTATTCTATACATAATTTCTCTTAAATAGACCGTATTCCAGATATTTGAGAAAATGTGTAAATTACGAATTTTGAAGAAAACTCAAAAACGGATAGAGGAAAAAACATTAAATTTTAAATTTTAAAAAAGTTTTATTTCGGCCCTTGGTGAAATATATCTGTTATTTATGTTTGGAGAAGAAAATTGTTCAAATAAAAGTTACTTCTAATATTATTATCTATAATTTTTACTAAATGCCAAATTTTCCTGAAATGGTCCGTATTCGAGAAATTTGACAAACTGTACAAAATTCTGATTTTTAAGAAAATTGTTAAACTAAAAGTTGTTTGCGATATCGATCTCTATAATTTTTGTTTTTTACATGATTTTTCTAAAATGGACCCTAATGGAAAAATTGGAGGAAAAGTGCTAAATTTAAATTTTTTTTTTTTGTTTTTTTTTTTTCAATGAAATCTATAGAAAAATGTTTCGAATTAGATGTATGTGAAAAATGTATATATTTAGTTTATCCTCTAAACATTTATAGAGGTGCTGCAATAGGTTGTACAAAATTACCGGTAAATGCCTATAATAACTAGATAGGAAATTTATAGGTTGGACACGTCATATTTTTATAAATGAAGACTGGGTAAATAGGTTTCAAAAATACTTTATTTTTAATATGATTTTAAAAGATTTGCTTATCTATATTTTAATTATAGAAAAATAAGATCATGGAAATAGTAATAAAAACCCATACTACTGCATTTTAGCTCTTAACTTCTATTTGGCTAGTTGTAGAAATTTTTTAAAAAATATTAGATTTTACATACTCGGCCTATGTTGAAATTTGTTAAGACTATTTTATCCAATTTTAAGTTTTTCTGATTTTTTCGTGAATGAGGTACTATGTTTCTCTTAAAAATGCTTAAAAATAAAAATGTATCATTTAAAAAAAAAAGTAATCCCTAAAACTGTTTCTAAAGAGATGACAAAGACACAAACTAGTCCCATTCCAGATGACAATTATACAATCCTAACATATTCTTAGTACACATATACTTTTTAAGAATATGCATACACAAAGAATATATTTTAGAACAGAATATACTGAGTATATGTCACTGAACGTTGTTTATACGTGCTATGCAAATACTCAAAATGAATTTAAGTATTTAGTGTTTAGCTTATATTTCTTTGTAAAACTGATATTTTTTTTATTTATATTTTGGAAATGTTGATTTTATACTTTTGGGCCAGGCGTTTTAACCATGTTTATACATGTATATAAAAATATAAAACTAATTTTACATCTTTATAAAGTTGTATATCAAAAACATTTGAATTTCAATCATTTTATTCACAAATAAAATTTTCTAACCTCACTTTATTTATGAAATTAATATTAATATCATTTTTTAATATATTCCAATATAAATCAGTGGTTTCCAACTTGCTTAATCAATAATCTTAAATACTTAATCTTTTATGGGGTGTAATAAAACAAATAAGTACATTTATAAGGGGAAGTCAAGTGATTAGAAAAATTGAGAACCACTGAAAGATATACTTAAATCATGAAAATTAATTCATTTCCATTAAACTAATTTTCCAGAGAATTGTCTGAATACATTTTATTAGTACAATCTCCCTTAATAGAATTAGGTAGATATTAAATAATAATAAATTGAGGAGTTAGAAAATATTTCATAAATTATTCCAGCAAAAAGTTTGTATATATTTGTAGATCCTTGGATTCTCCTCCCGTTAACGAAAGAACCCAATTCACTTATATACCGGAATTACATCACCCACCTAAGTACATTCAACCCGCCCCCACATACAACAAAATTCTTAGAAGGCAGATGGAAATGCAAGAAGAAAGGTAACCCATCAAATTTTAAACATAACAAAGAATTATTTGAGTCGTTTGGATTACCAATAAAAAAAGTAAAACTTTATTATTTCTGCAAGGTTTCTGATTATATACCGATCTGGTATACTAGTTACTACCTTGTTAAATATTTTTTTATGATTTAAAAGAGTTTCAATATACGTCAGATTTATATGGTGCTTTAAGTCGGCCACGTGCTGCGAAAAGGTGGCCAAAATAGAGGCTCGTTGCTTAAAAAAACGTGGGAGGCTTGTGGCGGGTTCAATTTGCCATGTTCGCAACAATTGGTCAAGAAGTGCAACCCAGGCTCGGCTTAGGCTCTGCTCATGCACAGCTCAGGCGCCGCTTACCATATTTGTATGCAACTTAAAATAATTTGAGGCTCCAGAAGTAGCATAGCATGTGAAGAGGAGTTTCGTCATCATTCTCTACACAGGAATTCAAATAATAATAATTCTTTAATATGTCGAAAAGGAACAATATAGATAGATGGATTCCCAATATGCATTCAGGACCTTGTTATAATTTGTTAAGCTTTTAAGAGAGTGTCGGCAGTTCAGTATTAATTTAGATTGTATTTCTACTAAATACAATGCCTAAGGCGACATACAGCAACATATTGTGTAAATAACTATCTGCTACCTGATAATGAAGAGGTTTGGACACAAAACTTTGGTTATTTTCTTATCTTAAGATAATTTCAATTTATCTCTATTTGGTATTATATTTATCTTGCCTTTCAGGTAGTGGTCTACTCGCTTCTTACCTGTAGTTTGGGTAAAACAGTTCTGAAGACGGTATGAACATTGAACCACTAGTTAAAAGGAAATGTTTCAGGAAACATGCGTTTTGGACTAATCAGTTTCTTTTTTTCTGAAGTTATCTAAGTCTTTTTATCTGAATATATCTATCCAAATCAGGATGTGGTTCAAAACCCACTCGTACTAAACCTCTAGGCTTTTATCTACCACATTAGGTTAATATTCTTGATGTATCCAAGAATATTTCTGATGGTTGATTTTGTGATTTCTTCTGGACCCGGAATTTGTACCCTGAAGTGCAATTCTCGTTTCAATTTAAGGCTCCGGTAATTGCTTAATATATGAATAGTAATTTTGTCTTCCTCTACATATTTTCTATGTAGGGAATTGTGTGATATCACTAAAATATTCAGGTGTCTTCTAAGGCCGCAGTAGTATCTCTTTAAGAGTCTCATAATTGTCTTGATTTCTTTTCTGCTAGGGTTTAGATGCTAAAGTGTAGCAGTTGAGTTTTTTTACATTTAAATTGACCCTCTATAAATATTCTGGACTGCCTGAGTCCAGGAAGTTCCAATCAGAGCTTACGGTATTTTTTGTGTAACTGTTCGGTTAGCACTTCCTTAACATGTCAATATAAAGCACCACATAAGGGATCTAGTCCAGCTAGAGGAGTTTTGTCAGCTCTTTTCCTGGGTATAAGGAGATACTGGAGATACTAGTTTTTGGGGGTCTATACAGATCTATATGTACTATTGTTAAGTTTAGGTTTTGTGAATCACGTTATAAACCATCTTCTCCTTTAAATATTTCTTTATTATATAACCAGCAACAAAGAAAAACTGAGTATGGTGTTCGTTAAGGCACAGAACAGGGTTTTTTTATTCTCGCTCTACACAAACATTCCACTTACTATAAATTGGCAGAACAAATATTCAATTTCGATGACGATATAGTTATTGTTTTCTCTGCAAAAGCGTTCAGTGGGATTCTCATCTTTCGATACCTCACTTATCGAGACACCTATCTTCATTTGATAAACTGCGTTTCTTATGTATTGTCTCGCTCTCTATTCAAAACGTGTCGAGTTCGTATGTAAGAAACTGTACTGGATAGACTTAAACATAAGGTCAAAACTTGATTCAATGCTTTGATCATATGAGACTCACCATATATTTGGAAATAATCAGGCACTGGTGGTTAATGTGAGAAGACAGGAAGCGTTAAATATCTTAATTTGCTATTATTTATTAACCTATAAAATGGGACAAACATGTCAATGAACTCTAAAAGACATTAAGGAATTTGTTATGTAATTTTAAATGTTTATTACCATACTTCTACATTATATATGGCATTATTTATAATGTAGTATGGGTAGTAAAGGATATGCTCTTATCGACCAAAACCAATTAAGACAAAACATCACAAAAGTGTAATGGTTTCAAAAATATTTCATCTTAATTATAATACCATCGATCATTTTTAACAAATCAAATTTAATATATAACTTTAATCGTCGATTGAAAGAAACATGCATTAAAATTAGCTAGTTTTTTAAACTTTGAGAGATGTTAAGATGGTAAGTGATTTAAAATTCATGGATTTAAACAATTCAAATTTTCAAGCTACTATTTATCAAGATCATAAATTTTAATAAATGTTCTTGAAACCGATACATTAGTCATATCAGAGCTTACATCATTCATACTGTGTCTAGACAAGTCTAGGCATGTTAAAAAAAATATTTATACCTCTATTTTATCCATGGATAACTTATTTCCACCCTGTCAACCAAACAATAAGAAGCTTTGTTTTGGAGGGAACCGCATCAGTTCTCCAAAATCTTTAATATCTTCTTCTAGTTTTCATAAACGACTTGTTTATTAACGTCCTGTTGGGGAATGGTTTTTACATATTCTCAATCGTATTATCATCAATCTGCTTATCCTATTTTTATCTATTATGATATTCTGGTTATTCTATTCTAGTTTTTATTGACTTGTTTACTTATTTATTAATAATCTCCACTTCATACACTTGTCTAACGGATAGATTTCTTATCTCCCAATGTTTTGCCTTAGATTCTTCTGAGTATAGTTTCCATCATATCTTGGGCAAATTTAATGTCCTTTACAGACATTTTGTCTGTTAATCCATTTTCAGATACAAGATCTTCATTAAAACTTTTGTGCATGCTTAGAACTTTCAGAAAGACTTTAAAGGGATATAACCTAATTTTACAATATTTTCTAAAATTCCAGTTCATCCCCTCTTAAACGACTTCACAATTTTTTTTTGTAATTATGTGGTCACCTGGGTGGTCCTTAGCTATAGTTGGACCCTGTAGGTGACGCTGTTGTCCAAATACCAGGTCCGCTAGTACTAAATAAAGATACAAATAAATGTTAATAGATTCGTGGCTCCTACTCCACCTCCACCACCGCCAATCGTACCAAAACGGGAATACATAGTAGAAGATATGCCAGATTCCTATGAACCACCGATTGCTGTAGTTCACAAACCAGAAATAACCTCTCACATGGTCGATGATGTTTTCTTGAAGACAATCACAGAAAAGAAGACGATAGAAGACATTGAGAGACACAGGCGTCTAATTACTGAGTACCATGCAAGACCCAAACCAGTGGAAGATCAGAAATGGGATGTAACCATTAGGTATATATTTTATTTTTTTCTTACTAAGGGATGTTCAAATGGTTATTGATATTTCCAGAAATTATCCCGTTGAAATGCCAGAACCTCCAGATTGGGAAAACTTCTCAGATATTTCTTCAGCTTCCGGTTTGACCCTAACGCCGAAACCAGAAAGAGCTACTATGAGTCTACCACCACAGAATTTGATTGTTGATGACAAATTGCCATTAAATGCTCCAGAGATTGTTGCTAATTTGGGCCAGTCACCTCCACCTACAAGGTAAATAAAACCAATTTGTAACTTTTTTTTAAATATTGATATTAAATTTATTAAGCAGATATACTTCATCTATGGAAGTACAAACGCAGGACCAGACTTACCTTTCGATGTTCAACATACCTCCGCAAAATGCGGAAGTGCCAAACTGGAACGTACTTATTAGGGTCTTCCAACCCACGGAGAATGAAGAAGGTCCAGTGATAGAAAGTGCCGAAACGTTTAATTCTCAATTAACTACCGCCGACAAGATAAAATGGCGACAAATCATCACCACCGAATCGACATTACGTACTTTGCTCACCGAATGTGTGGTTAGAGAAGATTATGAAAGAGTCCGGAGTGATTCCAGATATACGAATTTGTTTGAACCGCCTAAATGGGATGTTATCATACGAATTTTAGCTCCGCCCGATAAACCTAAGAGTAGGAAATGGGATAACAGGTGAGTCGTTAGGAAGTTTTAACAGTTTTCTATCAATATTCTCATAAATTTTCATACTAAAACGTTCACTGATGATCAACTATCTATCCTAATTCTAAATATAGTATTAGTATTGCCTATAACCTATAATACCTAAATTATTACACCCTCTGGTAAACTCAAAGCTATACTGTCACCAGTCTGACTCTCTGTGAACGTATAAATTTCAGCCGACACTTAACATTTTCAGGATATAAAAAATATCCTTTACACAGACTTGAATATACCTGTTAGTTGAATATTGTCTGTATAATTTTCAACCTCGAGTGTATGAGCAAGAAGTGTGAGACCTTTAAGGGAATTCTTACTTTTGAAAATAGGCTTAAATTTTAAGGATTTTTATTAAGGAATTGTAACTGATCTAAGAAGTTATTGAAAAAAATATATGTAATATAAACAACTTCAAAATTTCCAAAAAATAAATAGAAGACACACTACAAAAATTGAAAGTCGGCGTGAACCCGTCCAACTTCAAAAAATTATTACGTGTATATTTTTATAAATATAAAAAAAAACGAAAGAAGAGCAGACTTTATTTATATGTTCTTAATATGCTTCTAAAATTTCAATTAATTAGTTGCGTTAGAATTGCTACAATTCCATTATAAAAATGCATTGTTTTTAATGCAAAATCTAAGCGTATACTCTTCTATCCTTCGCATGCTTTCTTTTTTGTTATGGAGACACGGCGGCCAGCAACAAAAAGAGATCCTGGGAATTAGGTGCCATGAGTGCACGTATTTCTGTGTGTCTATAAATTTGGTTCAAAATTCATCTGAAAATGGTTAAAAATTTTAAAAAATAAACACAAAAAATAATAACTTTGATCTTTGTATGATTTTGATAGAGGGAGTTTTCGAGATCGTTAAATTTCTAAAACTAAAAATACATTGTGTATCGAAAGGAAAGGGACACGGAAGAGCAACAGATTATTTACATAAAAATATGAAACTGTAGCTAAATTTATCTATTTAGACTAAATTTCAAGTCAGATACAGGGTGCTTGAAAAAATCATTTGGGTATTTTTTTTTAATTAATTTAGAAAGAATCGTATTTTTTGTTGTTTTTACAGTTAAGTGGCAGTCCGATTGACTTTCAGTAAAAAAACTGTACCTTTACCCTATATGTCGCTTAATACAAGCTTAATACCTACTTTCGGATAGGCAAGTTTGGCTAAATTGTGCTTTCGATAAATAGGATTACCCATAGCATTACCCTGCTTCCTGTGTCCTATATTGCAGTTATTAATTCCTAGAAAATTAAATTTCAAAACGTTCAATTTCTTTTTCACCTACTTTGGAAAAACCCGAAGAGCTTACTTCATATCTATCATTTTACAAAACATTTACAAAACATTTTTTAGGAAACTTAACATTTTTGTGGCTAATATTCCGGTTAATGTTAGAATTAAACGCATATCAGCAATACCAACATGGTAAAATTTTGTTAAAGCACGTTTTATTTAAATTACATGAGGAAAACCATTATGAAATGACATTTTTTAAAGGAGGCTTTAAAGTGAACTTTAAATAGAAGTTTCTTTTTTTTTAAATCTGCCTTTAGGGTGCGATTATGAAATTGGCCCTAATATGGGTGAATTAAAGTACCTACCCATTTATCGTGCGGTATCAAATTGAAGTGGCAAAAAACTGATCGAAAATCATTTGATCGAATTGAAAATTTGATCAAAAATACATTTTATCGAATATATATTTTAGATATAAAATTCATTGCATCAAAAGGACAGTATATCGACAATAACTTTAAAATTAGTAAAAAATAAAAAAATCAAACAAAATCATGCAACCGTCCGTCTAATCCCTATTACCAGGGAATCTAAACTCAGCGTATATCGTCAAATTTTTCGATATTATCAAACAATAGCTGGCTCATTTAAAAAACAAATAATTTACCTAACCTGTGCAATCTGGGGCCATCGAAGGTTGTTTTACAATAAAAAAAATAAAAATATCTGAACTAATTTACCTAACCTGTGCGACCTGGAGCCATTTAAATTTTACTGTTTGCTCTCAGACAGGTTAGGTAAATAATTAGGTTTTTTTTATAAAAACTCAATTAATTTATCTAACCTGTGCGGTCTGAAGCCGTCGAGGGTTGCTTCGCAGAAAAATATATACTAAAATGAAAAAATAAAAAATTCTTAACCAATTTACCTAACTTATCCGGCCTGAAGCCATTTAAATTTATCTCATTGTTCTCGCACAGGTTAGGTAAATTAAGATTTTTTAGTTTTTCTAGTTTTATGAACATTTGGTTTTTCGATCTATTGCTCTTTCTGTCAAATCTATTCTTGATCAATTTTCTTTTCGATTATTGTTCTTTTCGATAATTTTTCTTTTCGATCAATTCATATTCGATCAAATATTTTTTCGATCAAATACTTTCGATCAAATATATTTGATCAATTTTGTGCCACCCATTAAATTATTCGTAATAAAAAATGAACATTGAAAAATTATTTAAAGTGAACCTAAGTTGAGTTTAAATCTAATAACATAATTTTTCTGGGTAGGTATGCTAAATCGGTAAGTCGTACCAAAAATTTAAAAAACGGCATACCTAGCTGAAGAATCTTTAAATACGTCGCCCACTGAAAACAGAGAAATACCTTCTAATAGGCGGCACTAATAGACCAGTTAATTACAGCTTTGACAAAGCGACGTTCTTGAGATTAACCAGCTCGTCAACTGTCATGGGTCCCAACCAATATTCAAATAGACCAGTTGATTGCAGCACATCAGCAAGCGACGTTCATATGAATAATGAATTTGTCAACTTTTGATCTATTCAACTAAAATATATCTTCACGTCGGTTTAACTGCGTTACATGTTACCAAATGAAAATGAAAATTAAAAATTTACCGTCTAGAAAAAGTAAGAATTCCCTTAAACAGACAACGGTTGACCAACTTAACTGTTTTAAAAAGGTAGTCTTCGCAAATGTAAAAGGCCAGACCATTTTTAAATAAATTTTTATATAATTTGCGATATTGGGTATAAATAATCATTGAAATATTTATTTGAACAAGTAACACCTTCATCCCCTTTAAATAAGGACTATACTTCTACATTTTTTTGACGTTTTTTACTCTTGTTTGAACTCTTAAAGTGATTGGTTTTCGAGATATTAACACTCAAAGGAGGATATTCTTCATTTTAATTTATTAATTTTATAATTTCCGATTTTTTATAACTTCTGCCTTTCTAACCTCTTGTAATTTAAGTTATACTCTTTCTATGTCTTTAGTTTCTCGAGGTTCGTCCTCTTTTGGCCAATATTCTTTCTTCATGTGAATCATTTAAGTACCACTAAACCATCTAGAATCAATAGAGAAGTCTATCTCACTCTCCCACTGCGTTGCTTCATCTACAATGTTTCCTTTTATAAGAAACCATCTCAACTGAGATGTATGATTTGTTTCCAAAATTTCTGCTATTCTGTTTCCTACAAATGTTTTCAATTTTCTATATTCTGATCGAATGTAGCCTAATACTACTTTTGAGTAGTATGTCGAAAAGGTAAACACTGTTATTTTTATATCGTTTTGCAAGTCTGCAAACCATAACAGCTGCGTGTAACGCCAGTCTTGCAATTGTGGTAACTTTGGACTATTGTGCCCTTAACATAACCAAAGTTAAATGTATGTTATTACACTGTTGTCTACTATCCGAAAATATATGAAGTTCAAGAATATATTCATTAAAATTCTTAAAATTGTAGCATCGTGGAATCTTTATACTATCTATTTTATTTAAAACTTCTATAAGCTACTTTTTCTATCTTTTAAAATGATTATCTTCGATATCTTTATTCCAAAAGAATTTCTGCCTTCCGCATGTCAAGCAGTAAAATTTTCCTTTTATAATAAAAATGCCTAATAGTTCTATAGGATCAAAAAGGGGCATCCCCAAGTGCTATATTCTTCTTGATTTTATTAAAGTAAAGACATTTAAAAATATACTTATTTTGGCACCATTTTAACCCTTATACTCTATGGGATACGTTTAGATCATCCAGTATTTTCTTTTGCGACCGCAATTCGGTGGCAATGCTGTTTATAACTTCCTGTAAATTACTTATTTAACCTCGAATTTCAAAATCTCCTTCTGCGTAAATAATGGTGATGTTATTTATGATATTTGGTGCTTCGTCTATCGCGTCTGCACTATCCAGATAGTCTTCCATGTAGTGCTTTACCAAAATTGCTTCTACCTACGGCCACTGGATATTCTTCTATGTAATCTAAATTGTTTTTGACGTATAGAGCACAATATGGCGAAGAAACATTTCCAAAAATGATTTGCATCTGATAGGTACAAATCTTCTCGTCTGGGCTCTCTATAAAGAGAAATCTTTTGGCAGGTTGATCTTCAGTTCCTATTTTCACTTGATGAAACATCTCTTTCATATCTGAGGAAAATGCAATCTGTTTTTCCCTAAATATCCATAATATCACTATCAAAAAGTTGTACAAATTTGAACCCATGCATAAGAAATCGGTTAGGCTCCTGCCATGTACTTCTGCAGTCGAGTCAAAAACCAATCTTTCTTATTTAGGTTGATGACACCGAAGTGTAATAAGTACTATATTATTTTTCCTGTAGTTCATCTAATTTTAGGACATACCCTTTCTTCAAGTATTCTTCTATTTTATTACTGTAGGCTTCTTTAAATTGTTTATCATGACACATCTTTTTTTCTATATACTAAAATCGTTGTATCAGTGGTTTACTGTCTGGTAGGTAAAATGTGTCATCTTTCCATAGTAGTCCTGTTTCCCATCTCGATCCTAGTTTTCTTGTCACTTTTTTTATAATTTCTTCAGCCTTTTTATCGTCTTTGCTCAATTATTTTCTGTCTATATTTTTTTCATCAAATGAATCTATAGAAAAATATTTGCCTACCATACCATGGAGTTCCTTATCTGAAGAATCTGTTTGTATAATATGTAGTATAATATTGTCATCTACTCTTCCTCTGCTGTACTGAACGTTTCCAAGAAATATCCACCCTTTTTCGGACCTTCAGTCAATTATTTCGTGTCGATGAGATTCCAGTGATCCTAACCTAACAGTAACTTTGGCTGAGCATTTTCTAAATTTATAAAATCAATGTTTCGTAAGTGCACCCATTTCGATTTTAGCTTACTTGAATTTAATAATGGTACAGGTAGGTTTACATCTTTCATGGTGTACACTGAACTTAATTTGTGAAAACTATTTATTCCTTTTCCAGAAATGTCAAAGCTTACTTATCAAGAAAATGCGTTTCTATAAGACTTTTTATTTGTCCACTTAAGCCCTAAGTCTACTGCATTTCCTTTCAAATTTAGTTTATCAGCCAGCTCTTAATTAATTAAAGAAACTGTTTATCCATCATCGAAAAGAGTCCCGCTTTTCTTCAACTGATAGGTCTAAAAAAATCTTGCATTATTTTGAAAAATGTAAGACTTTAGACCAAAAAAATACAAAGGACATTCACAAATATACAACAATGTATTAAATCCAAATCTAACAATACCTATTAAAAGTAGTCATAAATTCTTGGGTGTCATATTGGACAAGAAGCTAAACTGGAAAGAACATATTAATTATATTGTAAAAAGAACAGAAAATGCTGTAAATTTAATAAAAACTGTTTCCAAATATAATTGGGGTGCAGACCCCAACATAGCAATTATTTTTTATAGGGTGCTGATTAGATCAATTTTTGACTATGGTGCAATATTATACAATGATGCATCAAATACTCATTTGCAAAAATTGGACAGAATAAAATACAAATGTCTTAGATTAAGTATAGGTTTTCTCCCAAGTACTCCAATTAATGTAATAGAATCAGAAACTACAGAACCTCCTCTCAATTTTAGAAGAAAATTTTTATCCGAAAAGTTTTTAATAAATCAAAGGGCGAAAAATTCGGTTCTTCTCCCTCTTTTATCCAATTTATCTTCTCTGTGTTTAACTGGAAAGTATTGGTCAAAGAAAAAACTTCCTTTACTAGTAGAGACTTTTTTATCTACCATTGAAATGATTCCAGACCTCCATCAACAAAATGCAATTCCACTATGGTCCTTACATTTTTCAGCTTTAACAACGCCATTGAAAACATATATAAACAAAAATCTACTGAATGAAAACCCTCTAGTGATTAAAAACGCATTTAAAGAAGATTTAATAACAAAATGGAATACATTTGAAAACATATATACGGACGGATCTAAAATTGGGAACCAATTAGGATGTGCAATTTTGTATCCTAACAAAAATTATGAAATTTCATTTAAACTTCCCAGTACAATGTCAATATACAATGCTGAACTTGTTGCTATAAAAGAAGCTTTTAACGTATGTCTTCAGGAAAATAAATCTAAATATGTTATATTTACTGATAGTAAGAGTGCAGTAGAATATTTTGCAAAATGGAACGTTACCAGTCCTACCAACTATATAGCCTCAGAAATTCTTAAGATTAACTATCAATGTTTGGAACAAAATAAAGAAATTTCGTTGGCGTGGATAAAATCTCATGTAGGTATTAGTAACAATGAGAAAGTGGATATACTAGCAAAAAAGGCTACTGTTTCGGGAACTAATAAAAATATTAAAACTCCAAAATCAGATTTTATTGCTAAATCTAAATTATCAATGTTTAAAACTTGGCAAGATGCATATTCTAAAGAAGAAAAAGGGAAGAAATACAAAAACATTCAACCTAATATTCCAAAGTGTCCCTGGTTCAAAAACGAAATAAATAGGTCTTTTATCCGAGTTATTTGTCGTATGAGAAGTAATCATGCTATGCATCCTGCCTACAAGGAAAAATTTGGTCTATCAGATAATAATTTATGTTTAATTTGTGATGAAATTGCTGATCTCAATCATATAATTTTAGAGTGTGTCCTAAATTCGTTAGATACTGACACAATGTACTTAGAATTAGTTAATATTGGTATACCTCTACCAATAAACATTGATGTTCTGCTTTCATTAAACGATGTTAAAGTTTATAAAATATTGTATGAATTTGTTAAAAAAACTAATACAAGATTGTAAGTAGCTGAGCTACCCTAAAAATATTGTAAACCTGAAACGAAAAAATAAAATAAATGATAAAATAAAAAAATGAAACCAAGGAAAAAATGAAAAAATGAAAAAAAAAAAACAAAAAATAATACAAAAAAAAAATAATACAAAAAAAAATAATACAAAAAAAAAATAATACAAAAAAAAATAATCAAAAATACAAATAATAAAAAAATAGACATTTTTTATAATTAATTACAAACTCAGGTATTTTGATAGCTGTAAGTCAAAATATAATAATAATGTAGGTAATTATGTAACAATAGTGGATAAAACAATTAAAGAGTTATGGATTACTACAATAGTCTGGCCTTTTGGTTATATCCAGTGCCATTAAAAAAAAAAAAAAAAAAAAAAAAAACAATACCTATTCATTTCTGTATGTCCTATCTATATTTTTCATTTTTTAAGGAGCAGACGTAGTAGTTTACCAACTCTTTACGAATATGAATCTGACGGAGAAAGCTCTGTTCGTACTCTTACTCGAGAACCACTCGTCCTTCCCCAACGATCAAGAAAGAACTCGAGATCCAGCTACAGAAGCGAAGCTGACTTAAGGTCAATGTCAGAAGTAACTGTTGATTTTGGTAAGTAATTGCTCCATAACAAAAAAAATCAAATTACAATGATCCTATGCTAGAGTAGAATACGATAAAAAATATTAGTCTCCAAATCTGTTGAAAATATTTAGTGGTATACCTCAGGGTACTAATATGGGACTCATAACATTCACTTTATCTATTAATATTTCTCTAAATTTGTCTTATAATATTTATAGACAATGTATGTTTACTGTATATACTAAAATTTTATTTTGAATTACAGGAAGACAAGATAATTTCTCCGAAACGTCAAGTTACTACCCCGACAAACGATATTACGAAGATTCCGAAACCGGCCATCCATCTCTTGCAAGGTCACTAAGTCAACCTAGTTTGGCTAGATCAGCGAGCGAATTTACAGAGAGATGGGTGGCTCCGTCTAGATACGATACAGCCAGCGAATTCACGTCACCCGAAGGTAATTCTAATATTTTTAATCAAATTTACTACTTGAAAATTCTTAGAATATGGTTACTATTTTACTTTAATTAGCCAGGATTATGTAGGGGAAAGTACTCTGAGATAGAATACTTTTTGAAAATTATTTATAAAAATTATTTTTTTCTAGATAAGAAAAAGCAAAAATGTGTGCAAAAAATATATTTTATTTTTGACAAAAACTGTTTCACAAGAACTGGATTAACATGCTTATTACACGTAAAAAAAATAAAACTTATACTCCTACAAAAACCATCTTGCCCACCCCCTATGGCTGAGATGGCATACACCTAAAATTAATGTGCTTTATTTACAAATATCGCAAATTATAGTTTTCGCACTTCTGGGTAGGCCAATACAGTCTGCGTGGCCCCATTTTTGACACACTTGGCAACGTAGTCACCATTATCTACTTCGTGACATAATGTATGGTCCAAGGCAATAAATGCAGGTCGGTTCTTCTTCTTCTGATCCAGAATATTTTGGTTCTTCTTTTTCACTCCCGGTAGATGATGGCATGCGGACTTTTCTTTTGGCCGAGCTGTAGCAGATTCTCTTAAAACTGGAGCTTTCTTACAAGTTACTTCTAACTTCAGTTCTTCAATGTCCGGCGTAGCATTTAGAACTCCAAATTTTCCTTTTTTTTTCTTTAATTTGATCTGGGTGCAACAGTTGCCTTTGGCAATGAAAAAAATTCGGATATGCTTAGGTCCGTGGACGATGAAGGACCAGGTTGTTCTTGGGCGGTTACTGAACGTCCATTTGGCTCTTTTGGTACCACTGACTCTTTGGACGATGAAGATCCTGGTTTTTCTTGATCTGTTACTGAAAGTATATTTAGCTCTTCTGGCATCACTGGTGCTAGCACATCAGTTACATCCGCGCAGGTGCAAACATCCAGTGCGGAAAATTATTTTCATTAAGTTGGAATATTCCAGCAGACTAAAAACCACTTTGGCCATTTTTTACTGTTGCAGCTCAAAGATACGCTTTTTTGAATATTCCTGTAACTTGTTGGTGAGTTACCGTTCTACTTGGGTGGCTTTTGAGCCAAATATTTAATTATTGATTACAGAATGTCTTTAAAGGTCCAATGAAACTAACGTCTAGCAGCTGAAGCCGATGTGTGTAATGTGGCGGAAAGCAGAAAACTACGATGCCATTCTGCTTTGCAAATGTTAAAACTTCTATGTTTTTATGGCTAGAATGACCATCCAAAAGCAACAAAACTCTGTTTTGAGGTGAAACTTTGCTGTGTTTCACAAAATGTTGCAAGCATTTAAGAAAGTTTCCTCCATTCATCCATCCCTTTTCCTGGGCAAATCCAACGGAACCCGTTGGAGCATGGTCTTTTAAATCTAATTTCATATTTTTTCTGGGGAATATAAAAACGGGCGGAATGTATGTTCCAAGAGCGTCTACACAGCAAACTGAAGTGAAGTGATGACCTCTCTCAGAAATTGTTAAAATATTAGAATACCAACCTGTTTTCGACCTTTAGTAGCGAAAATATTCGCAGGTTGCGTTGGTACTGTGCTAAACCCTGATTCGTCAACGTTCCAAATTTGCTGTGACTAAAAGTTATATTTTTTGTTAATTCGGATAAGTGACCGAAAAATGTTTAAAATTAAGGTCGGTTAAAACCGCGGGCCCTTGCAGTTGAAGTAGCTTCCAGTATGCGAAGCGATATTGTAGGATTTTGCTGTTTAAATAATTTTAACCAACCTCTACCAGCCATTTCTTTTTCAGTTGAAAATCTATTAGGAAGTTTTTTCTTAACGGCTATTTGATACGCCAGCCTTCTAACATCGACCGAAATCATCTCAAAGATTTTAATTTCCAAATCTTGTAAATGGTTGACTATTTATTTTTCTAAATTGACCTCAAATGTCGTCATGTGCCCACCTATATATCCTTTTGAAGTATTTCCATTTTAAGCACGTCGCCGCAATGTGGTAAACGGAACATTAAACGTGTTGGACGTCAATAACCAACCCATTTTACTACTCTGAACAGCATCGATGGCCTCCCTCATTTGGTTTTCATCCCACGACTGTCTGGAAGATTTCCTAATATATGGAGCCATATCTAAAATTAAGTTTATGCATTTTTAGATAAAACGTATAAACAGACTAATATAAAATAGTGGTAGTGGGTGAGATGGCATACTATGCCATCTCAGACAACCAGTTCCTATGCCATCTCACCCACATACACCTGCAAACCGAAATACAGTCTACAAAATTTAAAACATTAAACAAACAGTAAACCACTATGAGTAGTTTCAATAGTTATAAAAGGTACAAAATAAATTCAAATCTACCTTATATCGTGTCCTGGTGACCTATAAGAAACACAAAAAAATTTATAATACAAAACTTTCAAACGTCGATTTTTAAAAACATCTAGGATGCAACTCGCTAGCGAACAGAAACGAACTAAAAATGGCGTCGGTATAGCAGCATATGCATTATTCACGTGCAGCAACGTCAGTATTGCAATATCTTTTCGATTTTCACAAATTATAGGCGCTATGCCATTTTAGTGACTATGCTTTCTCAGAGTACTTTCCCCTATCTGTAAGGTGGGAAGGGCGTGAAGCACTTAGGTCTCATTATGCCAATTGTGCAGGCACAGTTAGGATCTGCCCCTCAACTTGTCAAAAACATTATGGTTGTCGCTGAGAGGTATCTAGGGACAGCCATCTTCCCAGCTTATCAAGTCTTCCAGGTTACCAATTCGTCAAAAATTTGCTGGTTGCCGTTGGGGATCTCTAGCAATATTCAGCCTCATAGGTTAAATTCCTGCAGATTATTAACGTGTCCGAGAGGTTCCTAAATGCACTATTTTTAAAAGTGGCCATAAGGTGGGCTTTTATCAACTGGATGATAAATGCCCTTGTAAAGCCATTCTGTCCGCCAGCTCCACGGGATTCTAGTATCATCAATAAATATTGCGATAGAATTAGGCTTAAGATTAAGAATATCTCTGGTATACAGCAAGTGGAGTAGTGGACCCACATTGAGGTACGCCTACCTTAATTTCTCTTAGGACATAATAGGCTTCTTCCTGTTTAATTCTAAAGAACGATTCTAACAAATTGGATTGAAATATTTTTGAGTATTGATGAGGCAGTGTCATGTTTAGTTTATCAATCAGGCCATCATACTTTGTAGAAAGCCTAAGCCATATTCAAAAAGACGGTGAAGCAAACTTTTTTCTCTTTTAGGGACTTCTCGATGATATCTTTAAGCTTGGTCGATGGTCATCCTACTATTGGCATTATTATTTTCTCCATACTCACCTATGTTGTCTATCTTGAGCTGTATTTTTTACGTTTTTCTCTTCTATGGACTTCTCGATGATATCGGTGAGCTTGGTTGATGACCAGCCCTACTATTGACATAATATATTTTTTTCCATATGTACCTATGTCTTCTATCATGTTCAATGCTTTGTATTTCTTTTAAAGGTTCGTTTTTTTCTTTTGTTTTAGGTACACCAAAATCTCAGCGCAGTTCGAGATTTCATCCCAGAGGTGGCGAGCAAAGGGCTGTTTGGCAGACCAGCCAAGCGAGTACGAGCGCAGGACCTCACGGTAGTACGCAAATGGTGACTCAAGAATACAGAAGCGAAGCGTCCGCCAGTTTTGCTGGACGAGGTTCCAGACCACCTAAAGGTTGGTTTGGCGATAACGATAGCGAAGCTAGCTACAAATAATTCGAAGCCTTTTCCAGAATACTAAAAGATATTAACGGCCTGAAAGCAGTTACTTGCTTAATGCTTTTAGAAGTGTTTATAAAATCACTGGAGATCAGTCGATATGTTTAAACCATTTGAAGGAAAAAGTGCAATGTAAAGTTTGGATGTTTACAACTTTAAGTTAATGTTGGTATTGGAACTTTTCTTTGTAGGTTACGATTGTTTGCATAAAATCAATTAATAAAATAAACTTTTGGATAAAATTATTGCTTTTCAGAAAAATTTTTAATATTAATAAATCAGTTAATGTATAATTATTTTTAGAGCCCTGGAGAGGGCTAAATAAATAATAGAAACGTTGGTATGAGAAAAGTTCCAGTATGATAGTTTCCAGTAGATATTTAAAAGTACCACGTTTTCGGATGAAATATTCGAAAACAAAACTCGTTTGCTATAAACTTATACTGCCAAGAAAACTTTGTAAAATTGTGTCGACTGCCGTACCAGTTGAAAGGAACTGGCCCTGCAGTTGATGTGTTGAAAGATATCTAATTATAAAATTTATATATTAAAGAAAATGGAGTTTGATCCATTTGTCTTAATACCAATATTCCTATTAATGTGCTAATTGAATAAATAAATAAAAAATTGTACAATGGCAAACTGATAATTTTGTAAATTTGGAGAACAATTATAGGTTATTAATTGTTAAATACACTTCCAGTACAACAATTTTAAGGTTGTTGAAGTGGTATTTTATAGCCATAGTAAAAAAAATACAGCTGAAGAACTTGCTCACAAGTATACATACAGGGTGTCCCAAATTGTTTTACCCAGACTATACATTCTAAACCATGCAAGATAATCGAAACGGACAAAAGTAATCCATTATGATTGGCGTTGTTCTTTGAAAAAAATAAAAATTTGACGACCCACTCTCAAAAACTACCCCCCTGGAACAACCCTCTCAAAAATTATTAGCGTCACCCTAATTTTGTTCTGCTTATTTTTGTAGTCGCTACTGTTCTCTGTATAAAATTTTGAAATCGCTTTATAAATAAGTAAGAAATTAAATAAAACTGTATGTCAAGTTGATGATAAAAAATACTTTATTAGGTGACACATAATTAAAAAAATACATCGAAACAAGAGAAGGAGAAGACAAAAAATAAATATCAACAAACAAAGAGTAGTAATAACTTATAATAAGTGCTCAAATTGCCCACCTCCCACACATTTGTCAAACCTTAACAATAAATTTCTAGTACAGGCAGCTCGAATCATGGCCGGTGTAAATCTGTTACAAGCATGTCTGATTTTATTTTTTAAATCTTCCAAGTCCTCTGGTTTTATAATTGGATAATTGGATAATTGGATAATTGGATAATTGGATAATTGGATAATTGGATAATTGGATAATTGGATAATTGGATAATTGGATAATTGGATAATTGGATAATTGGATAATTGGATAATTGGATAATTGGATAATTGGATAATTGGATAATTGGATAATTGGATAATTGGATAATTGGATAATTGGATAATTGGATAATTGGATAATTGGATAATTGGATAATTGGATAATTGGATAATTGGATAATTGGATAATTGGATAATTGGATAATTGGATAATTGGATAATTGGATAATTGGATAATTGGATAATTGGATAATTGGATAATTGGATAATTGGATAAGTGTTTGCCAAATATTGGCTCACAATTTGTGCATTATGAGCTGGTGCACCATCTTGCTGCCACCACATATCACGTCTTTGATAAAAAGGAACACCTTCCAACAAATCAAGAACGGTATTGATTAAAAAATCACGATATCCTATTCCCGTAAGAGTGTTTTCATAAAAATAAGGACCTATAATCCTACCATTGAACAAACCACACCATATGTTTATGCTCCAAATATTTTGAAACCTTGTTTCTCTTACCCAGTGGGGATTTATTGGGGACCGGTAATTGGAATTATGATGATTTTATACACCAATATTATGAAAACGTGATTCGCCGCTCCATAATATTTTATCTAAGAATGTGGCATCGTCATTTAGTTTCACTTGCATTCTAGCGAGAAAGTTTAAGCGTCTTTTAAGATCATTAGGGTGTAAACCTTAGACCAAGTGTATTTTATAAGGATGATATTTATTGTCTTTAATATTCTTTGGATGCTATTTTTGCTTATTCCAATTTCAAGTGCCAAATCTCTGATAGAAACATGTGGATTTACATGAACGTAAGCCAAAACTTGTATAATATTTTCTGATCATTCCGTTGTGTCCTCCATGATGTTTACCATCAAGAAAATGTACTTGTCTAAGACTTCTTTCTAAATTGGAAAACGTTATAACTGAATCTGCACTTCTGTTTGACAAGAGACAGATTGATAGAGTATTATTGTTTATAATCCGCTAGAAAACTTATCATGAATTTGACAGTAAGCAACTTGATGAAAATGAAAAAAAAAAACGAATCTCACTTATTTATAGAGCGATTTCAAAATTTTAAAAACAGTTGTACAGATAAAAGTAGCGACTATAAAAATGAGCAGAAAAAAAATTAGGGTGTCTCTAATAATTTTTGAAAGGGGTTGTTCCAGGGGGTAGTATTTTAGAGTGGGTCAACAAATTTTTATTTGTTTCAAAGTACACCCCCAATTATAATGGATGACTTTTATCCGGTTCGAATATCTTGCATGGTTTAGAAGTTATAACAATTTGGGACACCCTGTATATATGTTTTTTTTATTTGTAGTTAAAATAAACAAACACTATATGTCATTTACAGGGTGACAGGGGAAAATGAACAAAATACAAAATGAGTGAATACCATGAAAGTAAACATCTAAATAAAAATCCTTGGTTTGAGATGTAAGCCTTTCACTACAGCAAGAATCTTTTTTTAAAACCATAGATAAATGTTACAACCATTTTATTTCAAATGTAAATAATTATTATTATTATTATTATTAAGTAGGTTTTTCCACTTTGAGATAAACATATTATAAAATAGTTATACAAAATAAATAAAAATAAATTTTAATTACTTTTCATTAGGCATTGATTTTATTTTATTTGGGCTAGTACAAAATATATATCTAAATCCTCCAGATTGTGATACCTATAGTCTTTTACAATTTCATATATTGGCGAAGTTGGTAGGATTCATTTATGTATATAAAATAATTATTATATTTTGTAAGTATTTAGAACGTTCTCAGAAAATTAGATCCATGCTGACTTTTGTATCTTCTAAGAATGTCCTAATAAAGCACGTGCTCAGTATATACTTTATGGAATATACTTTTAAGGACATACTTTTATAGAACCTGAACCTGCTTAGTATATTCTTTTAAAATATCTGCTTAGTATATAATTTTAAAGTATATATAGAACAAATATATATAGAACAATGATTTTATGTAGGATAAAACCTGGGCTTACCAATGTTATAACAATTAATAATCTAATGGTTTTAAAATTCAGTCTATAATAATCCTCCCTTCAAACTTATAGTATCGACTCTTGGATTATTAAAAAATCCGATAGTATAACTACGTTTACTTAACTTAATTGTCAGTCTGCCATGGTACATTTAACCTTTTTAAGGTTGTGTCAAAAATTAAAGTAATAGTAACTAGCTGTGATAACAATATAAGGTGTTTTCTGGTTCAATATATAAAAACTAGAAGGGTTTTACCCGGTTTTCCACTTTTCCAAAAACATTATTTACTTGGAAAACTGTAGAACTGGGTATTTTACAGTATGTCCCACCGTATATAGAGGATTTCTTGTACAGGCAATACCAATTTTGTGTCAAAATTGGTCTGGATTACCAGTCAGAATTAACTTTTTTACCCTAGATTTCTTGTTAATAATATTTATATTGTTTTAAAATAAAGGGACTTGAATATTTTTGTAATTTGTTTTTCTAACTGGTTATTTAGAATAATAATGTATATAAATGTTCTCATATTGGACTTGCCGCATGGGACACACTGTATATTTTTATAATTTCTTCTCTAAAACTGAATTATTTTTCCATTTTATTTTTGGAAATTTTTATTCTTTTTTCTAATACGCTCAATTTTTTATTTAATCGGTGATGGATACTGGGAGGCTATTTTCTCGCATTTTACTAAACAAATCTGCTCTTCTGTCTATATTATCTAAAAATATAATGATGAATGAATAAAATACTCTTACGGTGCTATTTAATTAATTTTATATGTATACATATTGATATAAATGAAACTAAGCTTTTATAAAATGATGAATTAGATATACATTTTTACATAATAAAATTTTTAAAGTATTTTTTGTTTGTTTTTAATTTAACATTAACAGTAGGCGCAGCAAAACACTGCAATAAAAATCATGTTTTATACGATGATGCAGGACTATAACAACCTTAAGATTTATCTTAAAAAATTAATTTTATGGTCAAAAATTTTCAAAAAATTTACCTAACATACTTATCACATAAGTTACTGATGGGAAAATTTTGAAAAAATCTGGTAGCAGCTTTAAAAAAAAATATTATGTTCAAATAAGTAAGAACGTTATCTTTTATTAAATTGTTTTTCAAAATTGGTCTAGCGATCTTTAGATCACTGTTATTTATATTTATATAATATTTTTAAATTATTTTATTTTTATAAATAATAACATCATTTCACAGTAACACTTTTATAAACGTATGAAATTAACGTATTTCATGTAGGTGCTGCTACGTATAGAAATATAATTATTGTTTCTAAATCTACCTACTTGAATTTATCTTGAGTGGTGATATTTTTGCGGTGTTTCCAAATCGAATTAAATATCAAAGAATAAAGTAAATTACAACATGGTTAATAAAACAGCAATCGTAAAAATTAATTGTGAGATTATTTATATAAATATTTTAATATAAAACTGGTTATAGCAAAATACCTTGTGTAATTCCATACTATATAATATTGTTATAATGAGAGAAGCAAGGGTAAATATTTTTAATATAAATTAAAATACATTTAATAAACATAAGGTTGTTCCATACTGAAGTTATTAAACACTCTGTATATTCTAAACCTATTTTAAAATATAGATATTAATATTGCCTAATAGTCTGTAAATGTTTTCTGTATCTTCAATAATGCCAGATATATTAAACTTTTCACAATAATAAACCACCCTATATAATTTAAATATTCGATACCAAATATTTTATCAATGTCTAGCTTATCAAGATACCATACAATATATGGAAGAAGACCCAGTAAATGAGGAAAGAAATAAAAGACAAACCTCAACTTATGTTCCTTTATAAAAAAATACCAATTTACCCAATAAAATTATAGAATCTCAAAAATTATTTACCCAATGATTTTTGATAAATTTAATAAATAAATAAACTAACATAACTATATATGGCAAGAAATCAAGTAAAGTATATGTCATATGCATGAACCCAAAAAAAAATAAATTCACCAACAGGTGGCATGGTTGGTCATTAGCTTGGTACCAGGCGAAGGATGCTTGCGCAAGATGATATGCAAATATAGTAAAATATTAATCTCTACCTTTATATAAACAGTGAAATAATAAAAAATTCCCCCAAAATATCATTTACCGGTTCTTCCACAATTAAAACTAGAGTAAAATCTAGAATTCCCTTTAATATGATTTTGTTCCTTAAACCATATTAAGGTTTAATTAAAATTTTTTTTGCCACAAAATTGTACTTACCAGAATTCGCCATTTAACAAACCTTTTCGAATTTGGTCATACCTACCTAATATGTATTTTATGTAGATAAAATTAAATGTACCAAGGAGCACCGACAATGTTTCTCAGTACTTTGTTCTGGAATCTCTGGATTATTAGAATAATACTGTAACTGGCACAACCCCAGAGCTAAATGCCATAGGTCCAAGTTGGTTTGAGAACTTGGTTATATAATAAAATTGTATTATATGTAGATATGCTGGAATGCCTACCAAGTATGTTCATTTTCTTGAATTTTATATCCCACTCTTGTCTTTTCTTTTCAACATGGATCTTCCAGCAAAGTCTTGCATCTAAGGTGATGCCTAGATATTTTGCCGAATTAGCATAAGGGACGTTGACATTATTTATGTTAATTGGTATTATTTTTCCATTTTTGTTAGTAAAATTGATATTAACAGATTTAGTTTCGTTTAGTTTAACACGCCATCTTTTGGTCCAATTATTTATTTAATTAATTGATGTTTGTGTAGTTTATTTGCAGCCTCTTCATGAACTTTGGTTATCGCTAGGATGGCAGTATCATTTGCAAATGTAGTTATTGTGTCTTGTTCTAGTTGGGGTATGTCACAAGTGTATAACAGATACAAAGTGGGTCCCAGGATGCTTCCCTGTGGTAATCCTGCTTTAATTTTTTTAAGAGTATGCTTAATCTTATTTTACTTGAAAGAATCTATTTGAAATGGTTTGAGAATCGGTGTCCTGCTGCTGGAAA